TTTATTTATTTGATTTATATCCCGCCCATCTGATAAATCTATACCACTCTGAGCGGCAGAGACACGGGATCATGGCCACCCTTTGGGCACCAGTAACTCTTGGAAACATATTCTCCCCTCAACCCAAAGACAGCAGGATGCTTCGTATAATGGGCATGGATCTAAAGGGCAAGACTTTTTTTATAGCTCTTCACGATATTCAACGGGTTTTCTTTACATGGGCAGAAGGGAGCTGTTCGGACTGCTGATGCTCCCGAGATTATTTGGCAACTGCTTGTGGTGAAAGCAGCAATAATATTGACGTGCTCTTCTCACCACCTTGTAGAGTAAAAGCTCTCCTTTTTTCTCCAGGCTATGCGGGCCTTGTGCAATGGGCTCCCACATTCCCTTGTGGTGCACGCTTAAACACAGTTCAAGTTTAAATGTTCAGAATATCTGGGAGTCAATATGCAAGATTCTAACATGAGGCATAGCTGCCCTGGACGACCTTGTTCCCATCTCAGTTCTTGGATGAAGCCGTGCCCTCCATTCGCACTACTTGCCAGCAGTATCATGAGGTAGTGGTGATGCTGCCAGGCTTATGATCAACTCCTGGCCATTCTTACCTTCTTCCTCCCCCTTGGACCCCATTTGGCACCCTGCACCATGTCCACGCCTGAACACCAGGGAGGAGGAGAAAAAGGCAAAGAGGCTTTCTCTTTCCAGGGTCTCCCAACCCTGCTGTTCTCCTTTAATGGATGCAAGGCTCCATGCACGATTAACCACAAGGCTCACGTGAGCCCTGACAGTCAGCTCTGCCATCTGCTCAGGGGGTGGGATTAAAAGCTAAAGGGCTCCTCGACACCCCAATCTCCCTCCTCCTCTTGGGATTAGCTCCAGGAAGAATGAGCGCCAGTCTGAAAAACCCTACCTACGAAAACAGTATTAAAGAGAAACCGGAGAGCAGGTGCCAGTGGATATGCCACTTTGGCTTCTCTCAGCGAGAGAGGGAAGGGTGGTTAAGAGCAGCCAAA